CAAGTACACATTTTGACCTATGTCAAATGCCGTGGCAACCATTGCTCCAATATTAGTTGGTTTCCAAATTATGTTACAATCTTTCCCCTCTTTCTTTTTTCTGGTTGTCTATGCTCGTAATCCATTTCAAAGATGTTATTATCTGGTTTTGTACTTCTAGAAGTTCTTTTGGTTCCTTCTTTTTTTCCCCTAAAATTCATAGTGGGATGGTTATGTGTGTTTTTGCCCACTTGTCTTCATATATTTAACTTCTGTTCTATGTTGTTTGTATAGATAAAATGACCATTACTAATTGGTTGCTAATGCAATAGTCTCAAGCATATATTGGAAGTTTTTGTTTTCCTCCATGATTGTCCACTTTTTTTTCTCTCTTTGAAATGTGTCTTCCCACCTGTTTCAGATTATGCTTGGATCAGGGAATCCAGAAACTGAAGATTGGATGCGTTGGGTAGAATCTACCAATAGAGAAAAGTTCCGTGGATGGGTTGGATTTAACGTCCCAGTTTCTCATCGGATAACTGCTGGGTATGAAATTCCTAACACATTGAACTTCTAGATTATTAAAAAGAAAATAAAGCTGATCAAAGCTCAAAATGGACAGTTGTGATATATTGTTAATGCCTTCGAGATATGAACCTTGTGGCTTAAATCAGTTGTACGCGATGAGATATGGAACTGTTCCAGTCGTCAACTGCACTGGTGGTCTCAGAGTAAGCTAGAAATGAGTGGTTGAAATTTCATCCTTGGCAGATTTCAATGAAATCTAATCTTGCTTCTTTCTTTGTATGTAAGGATACTGTTGAGAATTTTGACCCCTTTGCTACTGACAGCAGTGGTCAGGGAACAGGGTAAGCTCTTTATTCAGTAATTAGTTCACATAGTGATTGACGGATTAGTTTGAAACCTTGAATGCATCACTCATTTTATTTCTTCTCCTTTTAATGTATGGGAATGTTACTGTACTTTCTAAAGCTATTTTAGCTTATTATCTTTGCTGGATATATTGCAGGTGGAGATTTTCACCATTATCTAAGGAGAGCATGTTGTTGGTAAGCACAATAATTTCTGTTATGCAGAATGGTTGTACCATTTAAAGTTTACCCTGCTGTATTATGTGTTAGTATTAGAGTTGTAAAACAACCTGAGAGAGAAACAGTTATCTTCTGCAGAACTTTGTCTTATCTTTTTACTCAATGGGATAAAATGGCAATATTTATATATTACTTGAATAAAAAACCTTGTATCCTTTGATAGCGTGCAGATAGTTGCATTATATATACTATACCTATATTTATGGCTTAGGGTTTTATCTATTGGTTACAGGAGACTGAAATTTGTATTACCCTGTACCTTTGACATGACCAAAATTTTCAGTGTGTTAAAGTCCATACTGTTGAATTAGGATTTTCTTTGTCTTGCTATTGAATTTTTCTTACACGGACTTCACACTGGTCAAGATGAAGTAATTGTGTCCTCTCTATTTTGATCATCTTTTTTCTACTTTCTCTGATCTACAGCCTCCGCCCACCCATGTTGTAGGAATTCTCCTCTTATATCATAGTGAGGAGCACCTTCATATTGGTGTCCAGCATGAAATTCATGAAGGTGTTTTTTGTTAATAACTAAAATAGGTGTTTTCTGTAAATAATTAATAATGACGTTTTTGGTAAATAATTAACATGTTCTTTTACTTCTTTCCTGTAGAGTATATTTCCATATTGTTGACTCAAGTTATTTAAAATTTGATGTTATGTAAGTTATTGTCACAGATATTAACAGCAAGGTGCAAAAGTATGATTTTATTAGCAAACATTAAATGTGAAATTAAATATTGATACAGGGGGATGTAAACAATTTTTTAAAAAAACTATAAGTTGTGAAATGAGAACAATTATTTTTTTTATCAATGTGATGCTTTAGGTTGCTTTCTTTTAAAAGACTTGTTCTAGATGCTTCATGTATAGGGACCTGGGTTGGATCTGGCAATGATAGTGACCTCATTCATAAATGCTGGTACTAGTGATTAACCTAATATATTTGCTTCGTGACAATGGTTGGGTTATGTGAGTAGGCTACCAATTCTCAGAACACTTACTATCATGTACCTGCTAATCTGGCACATCAGCTACCAATTACTAGTTTTGTCCAGGTGTCCAGAGGTTTCAAAGGAAGGCAAAAAATAAAAATAGTTGGTCAAGGAAGCAACTTTATGTATCCAGGTTATCTTCACTTCTTTGAGCATATATCTTATTCTCTTAAATAAAATAGCAAAGAAGGAGAAGGGTCTGTCCTTTATCACTATATATTCTCAGATCAATTTGATTTCTGTTTACTTGCGAAACAATTAAGCTGTCTGGCTCTATTTCCTAGCCAAATTAGATACCTGGAATTGAGAAAGTGCAGGTCTAAGACCAACAAGTTCAAATCTAGCTAGCTTTCTTGTAAAAGAACAGCAAGTGAAACCAGTATATCTGAGACTTAACAGTAGGAGATTACAATCTCTGTTAGGAATCATTAAAAACTTTACTTGCTTAAGGAAAAGATGAGGGAAACTGATTAAATGTTTCTAATTGTCAAAAAAATAAAAATGAGTTGACCTTAGAACAGCCTATCATAATATACTTAATCATCATCTTCATAGAATTGCAATAAGATGAACATTGAAATATTCAATGCAATTAGCTAAACTGCTGCATAGTACCCCACTTGTTATCAAGATAGCAGTTTTAGATGAGTCTTAATGAAAAAAAATAATTGTCAAATACAATAAATGAATTGCTAAAGTCATCATGGATTAGGTAAATTGTAGCAAATATCTTTTAGCCCATAATAGGAGAGGCTTAACACTCTCTGGAAACTCACATGGGGGACTAAAATCCTAAAACATACATAACCAAGGAAAGTTGAGGAAGAAATGCCGACTCACTATTAGCTTATAATTGACTTCCTGAGATAGAAAATAGTTTTACGTCAGTTATACTCCTAAAGAACTGATGGTAGTAACATGCTTTAAAAATTGAGCTGGTTATCAATGTTCAATCTGATTGTATTTAATGAATGGTTCTTTCCTCGGACTGATACATACCACCCAAAGCATACCAGTCTGATGGCATATCAAGTCAGTGGCTCATGCCTCCCTACACTATACATTCTCAAGTCTAAAAAAAAAGGTTCTGTGATACTCGTATTTGGCTCGAGACCAGCATGGTATGGTACCCGAAGCATCAAACCATGGTTTAATGCTTTTGGATTTGTGAACTTGTCTACTAATCGATAGCTAACAGAAACAAAAAGTTGATTTAGAAAATATAGGTTCCTAGAAGTCTGCCATCTCATCTCGAATCATTTGTGGATTCAACATTTTGATTTTTTGGCTGTTGAAGGAGAGATTACATAAACCCCTAATGAATTTTGTAGTTTGTTTGTCTACCATAGCCACAAGGACAATGGAGGAACAAGCAAAGAAGGCATAATGCTGAAGTACCTTAATGATTGTTGCTTTTGTCATTCCTCTATTATAATTCTAGTGCTTAAACTGAACACAGAGTTGGTGCAACACTTAGTAATATAGCAAACATGACAATTGAACAGTAAGTTGAATGTTGATGTAATGACCATCACTATTAAAATCAAGTAATAAAGGAATTTAATTTATCATATAACTTGTAAATTTGCAATTACATGTATAACTAGATCACTTCGTCTTGTTATCTTATTCAGATATTGTTTTGATATGATTGTTAATTAAACAAAAGTAGCAATTTATGGAGTTATTGAACCCCCTAAACTGACTTGCTGTAATTTTGTTGAAACGAAAATGTGGATTATAAGAAACCATTAAGGTGACCTCCAGCATAGCCTAGGCGAGCAGCCAAATCTTATAACCTGTAGCTGTCTAGATCTTGTTTTCTAGAGTTGATGTGATTGTATTATTGTCTTCTATTTGATTAGTCTACAGCCTGTTGATGTACATATATGAAGCTCATGCATTCATTTTCTAATATGTCACTGCATTTGTGATTTAATTATTCTCAGAAATTAAGGGTTGCAATTCAAACGTATAGAGAACACAAGGCTTCCTGGGAAGGGCTCATGAAGCGGGGAATGTCGAAAGATTTCTCATGGGACAGTGCTGCGATACAATACGAGCGGATCTTTGATTGGACGTTTGTAGATCCTCCATACATCAGATAAGTAGTGGATACTGTCTGTCGACAGATTCATTTCGTTCGACTGCCTCGTATGGTTAATTTGTTTCGTGTCAAAGTCATTTTAGAAGTTGGAAGGTGTGGATGAAGTGATGTTTTGTTATATCCATTTATTTGTTCTATATACAATAATTTTGTTCTATTTGGAAGTTAATAATCCTTGTTGACGTTTTGGGCCAATCCTTCGTGCATGTGTGTATTATGTATGTGAATGTTTACTCTCAGCACAAATTTCACATTCAGTTTCAGTTTTTATGTAATGTCATTTTCAATTTGAATTATGGACAATCATTCAGCATTATCGGTATGTATTGAGTTGTACCAAATATATCGACTCATGGTACATATGATACATTGAAATGTATTACCGATCTTTTGTCGGACCAATACATATCAACATGAAACCTTGGGTTTTAGTTGAAGACAATAATATCATAAATATGTGTACAATTTTGTTAACTTTTCAAATTTAAATCATTTCTCAAGTCGATGATAATACATTTATAAGATCACTTCAAATATATATATATATATATATATATATATATATATATATATATATATATATATATATACATCAAATAAGAAGTTGTATGAAATATCTTTTTGTCTAGCAACTGAAACAAAGTTAAAATGACCTTAACAATGCTCACCAGCTGCGGCACCATTCAGGATTTACGGAATTAGTTGCGGCGGCGATACATCATAAGCTGTGAAGCAGACAGTTATCATAAAAATTCTTGGCAGTCAAATGAGCATGAATAAATGATTGCAATTATATTTTCAGCATGATGGCTAAAATAAAGAAATTAGTCTTATCAATGTTTTTCTCATGCAGTCAGATCAATTTTGCAAATCGGAGACAGATTTCATTGGCAAAGTTCACAGGAATTCGATCATTAACAGCCAACAAAAGATAAGATAGGAAGCAAATAGGTTCTGTCTTCCCCGCTACACTTGATAAGTGGGAGGAAACCTGAGAGGAGATGGAAGCCATATCGTTTCCCTGAAATGTCATTGATTCATAAAGAGTTCTTGTTGAGTCACTTGGCATCACACCATAAATAGATTGTTGGCCAGCATTGCCACATTTCCTCCATTTGGTAGAAACCTACCCAATACAATCTGCCAAGATAATAAGATTTGTCTTTGGTCACTTCAAAACTCTCTTTAGCACAAAAAGGTAAGGCATCACTAGAAGATGACAATGAAACAGGAACAGAAGTATTGTCCTCTTCAGTTTATATAATGTTTATATTCTAATATACACAGTTTCTTCGTTATGATAAACTATACCATGACAGCATGTGGACACATTTTCTTAGGTAACCGATGCCAATTCTGACTGAATAAAAAAGAAGCAACAAAGAGATTTATGAGTTTGTTCGTTCATTCCGTGCAAGTTTCATTTTTCTTAAGTTGAGATGTATGGTCGTCCTACAAAAAAAGTGGTGTTTAAACTAAGAATGAAAATTTCCCAGAAAAATTACATGAAAAGTAAGAAAAGCCTAACTTGGTCATTGTATGCTCATAACATGAAACTTCTTCATATGCTTATATCGGTAGGACAAACAAGGCAACACATACAAGAAGCTTAAAGAAGGTAAATGTAATTAATGAGATCACCAATTACTACCGATTACATGCAAGCCAGGAAACATCGGCATCGTAACATAATTTTTATCTTCAAAGTCCCAAGAAATATGATGCACAAATTATGAAGAATGATAAATATAGCACATTAATTAACAGTATCCTTGATTCAAGGGCACTGATCCCAGATGCTATTCATATACAAAACAGGTGTTTTTATCTCATATTCTATTTAACAAATATATAACATCAACAACTGGGTTTAGCATCTCAAGAATAAATGTGCTAGTTGTTGACTTGAAGCTCGGAATGGTTTTAAAGTTTTTTAAATGAAATTACAGTATTCGGTGGCTCATATTAAATTACTTATGATAAATTCAAGTGTACTGGCTTAAACAAATCCCACTGCAGTATAAAGAGCGACTCACCAGGACCGAGGATGCAGCCATCATAGGTCCTGCCAAGCCACCACCGAAAACATGTCCATCTGCACGAGCCAGCATAACTCGAAGTTCACCACTATGTCTACTTTGATTGCAACTCTCCAATGGCATGAATGAACCAGACAGTTTCACAATATCAAATTGGCCCTGTGTATGAGACATAACAATGTTTAAAATAAGACAATGCACTTCTAAAGCTTAACATGAGAGAAAAATCAGTTACAGATACATCAAACACAGGGTTTGGGTCCTCTCCGTTGATTGGACCGGCCACCGAGATGGCTGCTGTCAAGCAAGGTGGAGCATCCATGATTGACAAGTTGACACAGTACTGGATGTTACCAAGTACTGAGAATTTCTCAATATTATAAAAAAAAGTATGCATCAGCTAACAAACAAAATGAAATACCATCAACGCAGCAGAAATAAAATCTACAAGCTTTCATGCTATATACCAGAAAATTGAAGGAATATGATTCTGAGAATTTCAGTAATAAGTCATAACCTCATATGTTATTGTTCCAAGAGATGCTGCTGGCTTCAAAAGTGTGACCCTAGAAACAGTGCCATTTGCTGAAAGAATGCAAACTGCATATGATCCACTTTTTTGGCAGAAAGAAATTATCTTTGAATATATATCCTGGAATAAAGACAGGATGTTATAAGAAGAGTAAGGCCTTAAGACATGACTTGCAAGGATTGTTTTGAATTTGCTGATTCATCACCTACTCTTTGAGCAGAAGTTTGTGATAATAAGTAAATGTATGATTAATGCGAATCCAGGAAACAAAAACAGGAACATTCAGATTTAGAAGGCACAATATTAATATTTCCAAAATCTAGGTGTATATGTTTGGGAATGGAAGCCAGATTAGCCTGGTCATATCGCTAAATTTAGCTGTCTGCTCATACTGCTATAGAAAAAGTGGAAATGAACTTTTCTATCTTCAACGACATATTGCAATGTTATATCAATATGCGTACCGGTTTGAGAGGAGACAAGTATGAAGATTGTGTTAGGATCAAGAGTCGGCACTAAGAGGGGGGGGGGGGGGGGGATGAATTAGTGCAGCAGTAAGATAACGATGGTTTAAAAATTTTCGTACGATAAAACCATTTCCGACGTAAAACCGTTCTCAGAAACTTAACTTGAAAGCGAGTTCGTAAAAGCATTGAAAGCAATAAGCACTTAAAGAGGTTTGCAATAAAGATAAATTGTACAAATGTAAATGCAAACCAGATTTTAGAGTGGTTCGGTCAACGTGACCTACATCCACTTTCGGTTTCCTCCTCCGACGAGGTCACCGGCGTCCACTAGAAGCCTTCCTTCAATAGGCGAAGGCCAATCACCTTTTACACCCCTCTTCTCATTTTACCGGGTTTAGGAGATAACCCTTACAAGCACTCACTCTCCTCTCTTAAATAGAATTCTAACACTTAGAGTTTGAGGAGGGAATTTCTAAGAGATTGCAACAGCGTTTCTTTGCTTTTAGACTATCTATGCTTGTATGCTTTAATCAGGGATGAGAGGGGTATTTATAGGCTTCAAGTTGATTCAAACTTGGAGCCTAAAACTTTCTCATCCCGGGTTCCCCGGCCACGGGCGGTACCACCGCCCAGTGTTAGTTTGACTGACACTGCCCTGGGCGGTACCATCGCCTAGGGGTCAGTGTTGGGTGGTACCACTGCCTGGCACCCTGCCAGGGGCGGTTCAACCGCTCAGACTGGTGGTACCACCGCCTGACACAGTCTCGAAGACTGTGCCACGACGGTGAGAGTTCTTGTGGCACTGTTTGGGCTTGTTATTGGGCCCAACACAGTTCTTACATGGGCCTAGCTGGCCCCTAATTGGGTTGGCCCAAATCCAAGCCCAATTACGTGCTAATTATGAAATCCTAAGACATTTGCTAAGCTAAACAAGTCCCTATGTCTATTCTTCCGATGAGCTTCCGACGAACTTCTGACGATCTCTCGGCAATGTTCTGACGGACTCCCGGCAAGCTCCTGGACTTCACGACGATCTTTTTAGCGAGTTCCGACGAGCTTCTCTGGCAAGCTCCGAGACTTCTCGGCTGGTTCCGCCAGAACTTCCGACGAATGTCCGGACTTCCAACGAACTCTCGAACTCCCAATGAAATCGCGTCCTTGACTTTGGGACTTTATTTTGCTTCATGCCTTGTTATCGTAGTTAATCCTACACATATAAAAACATAATTCGATCTAGACAATTAATACTAAGGATTAATCAAGTTGCCCGACATGTCATTGGTCTCTCGACGCTTCGTCCGATTCTTCGGCACATCGTCCTCTCTTGTGGCCTATTGCTTAATCGGTCAGTTGATTCCGCAACTTCGATATCCTTGACGCAATATCCGCTCTTCTTGGCCCGATGCCCGAATCTATGACCCGAAACCTTCTGTCGATACGTCGACCGATCCACCGGTCCGACGTCCAATCTTCTGACATGTTCTCCTCTGGCACAACTTGATTTTTCCTGCTTTAATTGTCTCATCCTAATCGAAGCATCCTGCGTCACTCAAAATACAGATTAAAACATAAACATTTATCGATTGGTTTCATCATCAAAATCCGAGATTTAACAGATTGAAGACATCAAGATTCAATTTCTAAGTTTTTTATTAATCCTTGGTTTTAATTTTCTCAAGTTTTCTTTTTTCTTTTTAAAAATTTTATTTAAGTTTTATGAATTTCTTGATAACTTATTATGTGTATAGGTCAAAATCACCATCTGCTATATTTAAGAAAAGGCTACAAATTTGAAAAGAAGCAACAGATATTAACTCAATGAATATAAGGAAAGGTTTGCAAGCCTTTGGCTATTACAAATTTCCTTAAAGAAGCCACCCACGGATTAAATATAAGCATGAAATTGAGAAGTAAAGGAGAACCTATGCAGGAAAAAGTATAGCAAAAAAGAATAATATTGCTGATGGTCACACAAGAAAATATGTTCCAAAAACACAATAGTTCAACTGGATTAGTTATAAACCAGTATATAGAACAAATATTTTCAATATGAACAAAGTAAGAGTTTCTTACTCTATATGACTCAAGCCTAGACACGATCATAAACAAGGATAAGTAATATGGTGACATATAATTGCAAGCATCTCTCGGTACCACCTTAAAAAAAGGTAAGCCTGCATGCGTCAACCCTCCAGGCCCACATTAGCAGATGCTTCGTGTACTAGGTACACCCTTTTTTCTTTTCCAATACCACGTGAACAAAATATCAAAAACTTCTCTATACATAAATCTTTATTGTAATACCCAATTTCCATGTTTTGCCAAAGCATCTTAAATAAATGAAATGACATAAGCAATAAGAACATAGTAATATAATATGTGTCACTCATCATGTGGGGAATAATTGTACCTCATTAGTCCTAATGGTAATAACATGTGGAATCAAACAAGTCCTGTCTGGTCCTGCAAGTGTTTGTTTTACATAATTTAATTACTATAAGCGTGATTTAAAGCATACAGAATGAAAGTAAAAGAATACTTGATATATGATATATCGATAGCACAAGAAATTCAGAAACTTTGAAACTAAGATATGAAGAGTTCTTTATGCACATAGTTGTAGAAAAGTAGCAAATAATTCATATTATGTTAAATGAAACACTAAAGAAAACAGACATGCAAAAGGTGGCTAGGGAAAAACAAAGTGGATGGACTTCTAAAATTAGATGCAGTGCTTTTGTGTGTACTCAACAAAGAAGCAACACAGAGAAACAATGATAAACAAAAACAATGGAGTATGAAACTGCATAATTAGACTCCCCAGTGGAAGGTACTAAAAAGTCCATCAAAACTACCAATTCATGATATTTCAGAAGCATTAGTTTCAAATATAATTCCATTATTCTATCATAGAATATCTGGAACTGTATCAACTATCATAATAAGACCGAGGCTGAAGTTTGTTAGCAAGATCCAAGCACGAAACTTTAGAAAAAGCCTTCTAAACCAGACAATCAGAACTAACAGATCTAATTGCTTTGGAAATAAAGAAAACATGTAGTGATAATTCCATTAATCTACCACAGAATCCCTGGAACTGAATTAACAATAACAGGTTCAAGGCTGAAGTTTGTTACCAAGATCCTAGCATGACACTAGACAGAGGCCTTCAAAGCTGGATAACCAGAACTCATAGATTTTATTGCTTTTGCAATAATGAAAAAACAAACATCATGAGCTAGGAATGCATCGACATGTTGTTTCAAATATCCTTGAAAAGGCCCCAAGGGAAACAGATTAAATCCCATGAACTTCCATATTTGTGATTCTGTGAATTACCTGGACCTCTGGTGTGTTGCTTCTTTCCAAAACCTCCTGTCTCATGAATTACTTTCTTAGTGAATTCGGTTGTTGGAGTTACAGCTGCAAAGGTGAAAGGATCCAACCCTTCAGCACATAATGGGGTTGTAGCAGCACTTGGAACAGCAGTCGAAGCTGAGGCTAACATACCAGCAAACAAATATTTGCTTGGCTCTCCATAATTGTTTTGCTTCAGTAACTCTTCGTTATTTGGTGGACTTGTTGCAGATGGATTGTTCCTGGTGTCTTCAAATCCTTGACCGGGATAAGGATGACTACCCTTTGGTCTAAAGATCATTGAACCTTCCGAGTTAGGCATTGATTCAATGCTCCACTCAGAAGGCTGATATCACAATGAATTTCTCAGAATGATAATAGAAGTGCATGAAGTATGATATCTCAGATTAAATAACCAGTAAAGCTATTACAGCAAGTTAATAGAAAAGACAAGTTTTGTTGAGAAGAGTTGCATAACAGGAGAGTTATGCCAAAAACTTTGATAGAATTAAGTTACTTATCATCATAGTTTATAAAGTAAGTAAAAGAACAATGATCTCTCCATGTGGAATGGTTCTAAAGTTGTTTTAAGTCAAAGCATGATTAGTATCTTAGTTACCAAAACAGTAAATTCTGAACAAGAAAATTTGCATTTATTATCCCTCTAAAAGTTTTCTTGCACTAATGCAAGTTGCAAACTGATTACTTAGGCATCAGTTTCAAAATAAGAATATAGAAACATATTTAAAACAACTTTACAAATTTAGATGCAATTAGAGGTTGCATGATAGAAGATATCATCGAACTTAAAAGCTTCAGGGCTTCAGGTTGAGTAACATAGGAGCGTTATGGGGAGCCTTATTCAAAACATTTACTCCAAAATTTAAGTTCGATAAAATGGAAAGAAAAAGAACACATAACAGAAACAAACTATAATATTGCTAACATGTAGAAATTACAAATCGCACCAGAAACTTGAAATTTTAACTCCAATTTTTAGTAGAGGATGCTTTTAACAACAACATTAGCATACAAAAATCTCACAGAAACAATTCTTATAATGTTTTGTGTGAATTTAGATAGTAGGAAGTTGTATGTACTGTGAATAGTCAAGTATATATGTTTAAGAGATTTATGTTCTCTTGCATTCAAATGGAATCTACAATTAAACAGCATGTGTAACACATCTCAAGGCATTGGTAAAATAAGAATTTTCATACTCAGAATTTGGCTCATAGACTGTCAATTTGGAAATCTCATATAATTAATTAGCTATTGTATGTGCCTAAGTACTGAGAAAAACAGTTTTCTAGCTGTGACTAGCCATACATGATGATTGATTAGATCACTGAATCTTTTCCAAAAGAAAAGGGAGAATAACAAAAAGGATGAAATCAATTACATTTTTCCCTGTGGAAATGCAAATATCTGGCTCATTACAAGCACTTGAAGGACCAAAAAATATAGCAAAGCAAAGTACACAATGTCTTTCACAATAGAATTGCAACTATAACATAAGAAAATTCAGACAGTAACATATCTAAAAATTATCGTTGGGGAAAAGATATATACATGTTCATGCAAAACCAAAGCATCATGTGAGCCAGATCCAGTCCCACCTGATCCAATAGGTAACTCTGTAAGATTATATAAGTCAAATGATCTACTTAAAGCATAAGGAAAATTGTACAAAATAATAAATTAAGATAATAACTCATCTGATGTCACTATAACAAGAAACCAACTATTTGAAAACTCTGTACCACATGGAAGCATATAAAATCACAGTGATCACTAACCCAGTAGTAGTAATAGTAAGAAATGGATTACCAAGGATATTCATGTATTCCTGTTTGTTATAATTCCCTCCCTCGTAGGTAGCTTCTGATACGTTTCTTGCAATTGAAGGGTACCGAGGAGGAAGTCCCCAAGTGCTCCATTGAACATCAGCCTGTGATCCAGTTTCCAGTGCAGCCACAACATTATCAGCAAGACCATGATTGGCTGCCAACATATCCTTCTGCTGCAATAGCTGATTTGTTTGTACTGCACTTAATAAAGAGGGACTGCCACTATCTCCTGTTCCTCTTTGTCCATGAGGATGCTTGCAATCATGGAACTGAGCTGGGTTTCCATGCTTGCTAACAGTGGAAGTCTCCCCACCTGACATAATTCCCAGCTAGGTCTGTAAACCAAATAATCAACTCGAAGAACTTATTCCTGAGATTACGAAACACCAATTAAAAAATATAAGTAAATATAAAGGTAATATTATATTTTTTTTAAATAAATGCTTTATATTTTATTCTTTTCTTTCAACTTTTAAGGTGTCTTGCAACAAAAGCGAGAGAGCAACAATTTTATATAACGTATGCTAGAACATGGTCAAGGACCCTTTCAACAGATATTGACATGGAGAGTAGATAATATGCCAACTGTTAAACTAATGCCTCACGATACTCCGATGAGGCGATGAGTTCCACAAAAGTTCCAAATGATAAAATCCAACAGTTTTCAACAAGAAAGAAAATAACAACTAATTCTTTCAGTAATCTTATTTTTTAAATCTAAAAATTGTTAGAAGAACAGCAGGCACCATAGATGATAAAATTCTTACGTCTCTGCATTGAGAAAAAAAACAAGGTATAATAGGTAGATCAGTGCAGCTTCTATTTTTTGACAGCATCAGATTGCAGAGAATGAACTTATACTAATCTACTTGGTCCTTCATTGAACATAAGATACCTAAAACCAAAATAACTAAGTGTGTCTGAATCAACAGATCAAATAATCTATAAATAACTAATAGTAGTGAGACAGATCTAACTTCATGAGAAGTATTTACATGCAATACCACACGAGATATGTGGCTGCTCATCAATTAGTAAGCAACAATGCATATCTCAGATTCACGTTTAAAACCCTGCCAACAAAGCATAAACCCAAATAAAGACTTCCTTCTTGATGTACATTAGAATCATAATACTAAAAAGCAAAAATAAAGATGCCAATAGGAGCTCTTAGTGTTCCTAAATTTCCCTTATTTGATGGTCCTTCAAGAAATGGGCATCTAGAGAGCTTTCCAACCTCTTTTCCAGAACTATTTCTGTCTTATGTTGTACTGTTTCCAATGGCAGTTCCACTTATATGATTAACTTCTATAAGAAGTCATCCTCTTCTTTTTATTGTTCTTTTTGCAATTGTATCCCAATTGCAACTTTCAATATTCCTATTTTCCAAATTTACTTATACTCACAGACTGTAGAGATCTAACAAGATTTTCAATCCAATACTAAATTGTACTAGTAATGGGCTGCTAATCTGTCTTTATGCACAATTTAATCACAATTCCTTCCATGTGATTGGTTTCTACCGGAAGCCTACTTTTTGACTTTCCAATATGTATACCTCTTGTTGCTTTAGTGCAATTTCATTTCTGTGTCATGCGTAGAAATATAACATTGACTATGATGTTACATCCGTGAACTGAGAATAAGCAAACCAGTTTCTATGGTGCCAGAGATATGAGATATGTTCAGATGTTTAAATTGAAATATTTTGAATGTGTACTAATTTTTCTTTCTTTTTTACAATATCCCATCCATTATCTCTGCCATGTGCTGTTGCACGTACATCATATTGGATCAAATAATAATAGAAAAAACAGTATGTTGGGTATTAATTCCAGAAATGACAACAACAGCAACTATTATACACTATCAACAAGAAAATAAATAGAAGACATGTACTATGTTACTAAATCTTCATTTAGAAATGAGAAGCCATGCCAGAATAAACTAATTTTGCCAAGATGAGAAACTATCCAAAAAATCACCTTCCCCAAGAACCAAAAAAATCTACAAGCCAAAGAAATAGAAGAATCTTAGTAGAAACAGAAGAAGATGCATTTTTGGTGGAAGAAGAAAGACAACCGACTCCAGTCGGTGCCCTCAAAGACTAAGAACTGAGAACAAGATGATAAACAAAGAGAAAAGTATATCTTCCCATTTATTCTGCAAGATTTTACTATTGAATCAGTTCATTGAACTGTTATAGGTGTAACCAAAAGTTGGTTGAAAGATACATGCATCATCTGTGTAATCAGTGGCCCAACACATCCTTAAACTTGTTTCCATGTTTTTATTGAAGGAGACAAACAATTTTTTTTAGTTTCTTATTATATAGTCTTTCTCAATAAATTTCCTTTTCTTAAGAAAACATATATCATTTCACAAAAAATTGCTTTCAAATCTCATTTGGCTAATAACTCATATTTTGCAATATAAAGGATGAAAATAAATGCGTCAAAATAAGCAGGGGCTTGAAATGTAACAACTTGCCATTTCTTTTAAGATGTTTAGGACCACAAGTAAACTTATCATCAAACTACTTAATAACTTCATTAGGTGGCAAAATCAAAACAATGCAATGTTAACAAAATCACTGGATACTGTATTTTTTATTTCTTCACATTTAGATGCATAAAATAATTATATCATTCTCATATATCTTAACAAATTATGTTAGCATATCTGTCTAAGATGTTTGTCTTACTGAAACAAACATGCAAAAAATTTGTGGTTACCATATACATCTTAGATGTTTGTGTTACTGAAACATGCATATAAAAATTTGTGGTTCAACCAAATAAATCAGTTTAAAACCAAACTAAAGAGCATTAATGCTCATCAAAATACAATCGAAAAAAGAAAAACAATAAGCATATACATGTATTACAGATCAAACCACCAATTCTAGAATTTAAATAAATCAACAAATTTTGGCATAATACTGATTTTTTATGCATGAACAAGCTTCAACAAGTCTTATGCCAAAAGCAGCTCGCAAAATCGTTCCCACACATAGCACAGATGAGGGAATAAACAGATCCATGTTATCAAGTTAATGTTAACCAAAGGAATGCTTTCTATGTTTTGAAGTCGAACTTCATATTGTGGATCAGAAGCTAAATAGTCAACCCCATATCGTGTGGTAAAAATATCTGCTCACCGTTGATTAGGATGCTCATCAACTTGTCTCTGAATCTCGAAAACAATGAAATAGCCACACCCATTTTTAACCTTTTCTGCAATCCAATATAAGTGAAGATTCCAACTTACAAGGATGAAACTGAAGGCAACCACCAAGAACATGTGGACTCAGAACTCGTCATTCCGAGGTGACAAATGAGAGAAACCCTCGATCATCGAAGCGATTCGCAGGTCGCATCGGACCAAATTTGATGTCGAACGTGACCGCCGTTCCGTACTCCAGCTCCGATGCCCGATCATTAGCGCCGTGCGGCCGTTCCATGGAGGAGCACCCCGCCCATGCCATGGGGTCATCGTAGTCGAGCCAACCGTCGGCCAGCGCTTCCGGCAAGATCCGAGGAGATCGGCCATCGCCATTGCCGCTTGAACATGTCAAACCTAGTTTATCGGCATTTCTCGAATACGTAAAATTTTATTTGTTTTTATTGCTGGGATATAATGTTATCGAACTGATGAGATGCATTCATAGGGATGTTGAAATCTAACCGAGAAACTGCAGCTTGTTCCGGAGTTGGGCGGAGATCCAAGAAGTGGATCTTCCTCTCGAGAGAAGGGGATCGAGGATTCTTCTTTCGATGCTCATATTAGAGGATACTCCCATCATTGATGGAGAGATTGGAGTTTCATGAGCTCGGAGTGCAAGGAAGGGAGAGTAATTCTTGATCGAGTAGGAGGAAGAGTTTTTGTTTCTTCTCCCTCTGAGACTTTCTTTTGAGGTGGGAGGAGCGAGATGACAAGATGGTAAAAGAGCACCGGTTGGTTGTTGGAGTAGCGAAGAGCTGTTTCGTTGAACGTAAAGGGTTCTATCACAGTCTTTCGCTTTTCATCGCATTGATCCTTCTCGGTGTTTGTGCTTGTAATTTACCATCGAGTACAGCAATTACGTTTGGTCTCCATAATGTCTCGTTGAGTTAAGTGATGTTTATTGCCTAATTCTCTTAGGACTAATTATATATATTTTTTTAAATTAATTATTTTTAATATTACGTGTCTATAATTAGTAATGAAAAACGATTAGATACATTTATCCTGACAATTTTATTAATAAAAAAATAAAATATAATTTTAATATTTTAGTTGATAGTGGTGGACGACGTTGGTGGTGACAAATTATGTCACTGGAGATCATTGGTGACTGTTATGGATGAGGAGAGCGACGATGAAAGGATCGTTCGGTAACTGCGTTAGACATCGACACAGATAGTAGCTCTCATCTTTTATCGTTGCTCTTTTTATCTATAACAGTCGCCCGTGTCTCTCAACGGTGTCATCATTCACCACCACTAATTTCATCCATCATCATCAACTAAAATATTAAAATTATATTTTTTATATTTTATTAATAAAACCGACAATGAGATAGTAAATAGACATAATTATTTTTATTTTATAATTATAAGAATATTAATATATATTTTTAAAGTATAAGGATTAAGATGATATAGATAACTAACTAACTACGAGGTATAATATACTATTAGCTCACTCTCTTATCACAACAGTATCATAATCTTCCTTCTGTAGTGGAATCATGCTCAATGATTTCTTAGCTTTTCAAGGGACCAAAGTGTCAGAAAATCTCTCGGAAGAGAGCTAGAAAGAAACAACCATATGTCTCTCCAAACATTAGGATCCTTATGTTAGTATTGTCAACCTTCATCCACAAAACTCATGTTAATCGATTTTTATCATTGATAGAGCATATTTCGGTACTACCCACGTGACGATAATCAGTGGCCACCTTGAAACCGACATGGCACATGCACGCCGACATGGCATATCGAACTCGTACGCAGTGACTAACCATACCCACATCGCTTGGGGTTGTATGAACAACATCACCCAGCATGGAACCATCCACACCAATACGAGGTGGCATCGCACAGTGCAAGTCGGTCTGCGCCATGTGGAGCATATGAGCCAATCTCTCGAGGGATCGACGGCCATTAACGAGCCCCGTACGACCAATCCCATATGATAGGTATAATAAAGGTCGACTCCCTAGCTAATGACAAGGGGTGGTCTTCGAGCATTCAAACATGCACAAATTCACCCCAACACCATCATACTAACTTAAGCCTCGGAAGGGTCGAGTCAGGATTCCCCCTCCCAACTTCGACCTGCGTGCAGAAACCCAACAAGGAAGGAAAAACAACTCCCAACTCAACCTCGGATTGACTCGACAAACAATGTCCTGACCCGACCTGACACCGACCCTCTCCAATCGGGAAGCCACATGGACGATCTTGCGTATTCCGATCCGACCGAGCCATGCTAACAACTCGGCCACGATGAAAAGTTATACAACAATTATAATTAAAATTAGTTTGTTTGAATGAATAAATTTGAAAAATATTAATCATCAAACATATCTTAATATTTTTAGCGTCATGTATGATGCAGATTAGTGTTTCACATTTAAAACCAACATACGGTAGGTAACTAGGATTAGGTATATCCAAACTTTTAATTTGAAGAGGGACGTGCATTTATGTAGGGAGAACTATATGGCTTTCGACATGATGAATAATAACTAACAGTGTCACAATTATAATAGTTGCATTTAATACACCATTAATTAATATAAAGGTGAATTCTTGAAAAAAATTAGAGAATTTTCTAAATAGAATTTAAACTTTAAAACATTATTATCTTTTTTTTAAATGATCATTCTACCCCTCATCGACCATCGTCATATGCTTAGCACCTAGTTGCACCTTCATCTCATATATCACCCCCTTTGTCAGACACACCCTCTCTTTGGACCCTGTTAGACCTATTGGACCAATGACGGAGGCATAGTCTTCATGGCTCCTCTACGGCTAACGATGGAGGTTACAGGCGAGCCACCACCCCCTCTTTTTCGTATGTGACCAATGATAAGGGGGGGTTGCAGGTGAGATAGCGAGGGGCATACCCCCTCTTTCCACACGAGAATGAGGCATGAAGAGGCTATACGATTCCTCCGTGACCGGCAACAAAGGTTGCGAACGAGGATGAGTTGTCCCTCTCATTTCTTGTTCATGACAAATGATGAGAGGGGCTATTGGTAATGGCAAGGGCGTGCCCCTTCTTACCACATCAGTAATAATGAGACTACGTGGCTCCTCTATAATTAGTAACGAAGGCACGAGCAAGAGTGTGCCACCCCTCCTTTCTCACTTATAATTGATAGCGAGAGATGACTATGAACAACAACGATCATCATTGAGGCTATATCTCAAGTCGAATAGGATCCAATTGAGAGACTTAGCTTAAAAATTGGGATGATTAGTTGGTGAAGATGATGAAAGTATTGATAAAATGATATTTCATATGACTGAGGATATTCTATGGGAATTCTTTGAAGTTAAAAATGTTGTATGAGAAATTATCAAATCGTAATAATTTTTTAAGAACTCATCATAAATATAAATTGGTCACATCACCAAATATAATTAGTATAAATTGCAAAATAAAGTGACTTATCCTCATGTAACATTTTAGATTAGTAGATCTACAAACAGAGACAGGTGACAAAATTTATATAGATTGAAGATACTTTTGTAAGATTTAATTTAATCCCCATAAAAGCATTGGTGTTTCTTCGTCTATGTGGTGTCTAACTTTACATTTTTTATAAATGAGCTAAATAAACAATTCTTCTGAAACGCTTTGTTCCCAAGTTTTCATGTGTTACAGTAGAAAATAAAACCTTTGACGTTCCAAACTTGTATAAGATTAATTTTATATAGTTATTTTATTGAATGAATTTATTTTTAATTGGTGCCCCTTTTTTTTTCTCAAATATTACTTATACTTAGAAAATCTAAATTACTCCTTAATTTTTTTTAGTCTGTTATAATATTTTTAGCATGTTATAGTATCTCGGCTATCATAATAAAAACATTGTAAGGCTTACTCGAAGACACTGTAATATCATTTATAATATTTTTTAAATGATATTTATAATATATTTAGTATATAATAAAATATTATAAATATTATTCAAAATAGTATAAACAAGTTAAATGAAAATACTATAACAGTTAAAAATTGATTAAAAAAATAAGAAAAAAATTTTGACAAAAAAAAGAGTAATATTTTGAATATTTTTAAATTAAAGATATTGTTTGGAAATAAAATAAAAATAGAAAATATTTTTGAGAAAGACAAATATTTTCTAAGAAAATCATGCTATTTTATTTGGAAATTTAAATATATTTTTATTTAAAAAAGAAAGTTGATTCCTACCTATTAAAACCCCTTCTTTTTCTCTGTTGGCGTGCGAAAGCCGTAATAATTTGTGCCTGTCTGCTTGCCCGAGCTTCCGATTCCTTGGGCTTGCGGTCTGATGATTCCCGTCCCCGATCCCAACCCCATCCTCTACGCATGTGTCGCCCACGGCACCACCATCCTTGCGGAGCTCTCTTCCGCCGAAGCCGGCGGCGGCGATGATGATCTCCCCTTGGGGCACGCCGCCGGTTGCCTCGCGACAGTGCCTCGATTCCACCGCCATTACTCCCACACAGCCGGTGGCCGGATCTACGCCTTCCTCATGGCCGAACCCCTCGTCTTTTTCGCCATCGCCGACGAGGCCGTCCTCGGCAAGCCCCGGGCACTCCTCTTCCTCCGCCGCCTCCGCGACGCCTTCTCGTCCTCGGCCGTCCGCAGACGCCGCACCGCCGTCGGAGGCGATGGATCCGATCCCCTCCCCCACCTCTGCCTCCAGGAGGACTTCCTCCCGGAGCTCCGCCGTCTCGTGCAATCGGTTCCCTCCCAGGACGAGGAGCCGTCCCCGCCAAGCCCTTGCCTTCCGCCGCCGGCCGCTAGCCCTCGGCCCTCGGACTCCGACGAGGACCAGAAAGTGAAGGAGAAGAAGGGGGGGAAGGGAAAGAGGAAGATGGTGATTTCGGTCGTCAATCGCGACGTTGTGGATTCCGACCCTGGAAATGGTGGGTCGAAATCGGTGCAGAAAGTCTGGCGGCAGCATGTCCGGACTATAATTCTCATCGATCTCGTGGTGTGCTGCTTCCTCCTTGGGGTTTGGGTATCTATCTGTAGGGGTTTCGAGTGCATCACCAATTAAAAACCATTTGGATTCAGTTGCTGCTGATCTGTGTTCCATATTTGAGTGTGGCATGCTGGTGGTTGATGGAGGTTCTCCGGTATATACTTCAAGATGCATGGTAATTTTCTTTCTTATTGCGGCTCTTTAGTGTGTATATTACTGATCTGAGATGTTGAGGTTATTTGTGATTTCGTTGCCTTTTGGTATGTTCTCCATTGTTTTTTTCCCATCTCTGATTGTATCACTCTGTTAGTTCATGTATACAAGTCTCCTTATGAATTTGAAGTTCTCATTTTAATAGTTTATGCACCAATATTTTAATTCACAAAGTCACATTTTACCATGATATCTAAGTTATCCCAATTTGAATATTAAGATCTTCCTCAGTAATCATGCGGTTATCATCATTTCTCTTCTCTATTATCGCATTTGAGGTCCGCTTAGGACTATGACTTGGTAGTTCGCATTGCTAGCAATCACTGCATGGCTATCATGCATGTTACCAAAAACATCATGATTGCCAATTTTGTAATCGTTGTAAGTTAGTGCTTCATCCGTAGGAATGATAACAGGGAAGCACATGCTTTGGCTAATCTTGCTTGAATTTGTTTTCTCACGAAGTTTTTCTTAAAAAAAGAAAATAACATCATCATGAGCATGTGCATTTACTCATTTCTCATGTACATTACCTTCTCGATTGGATAGCATGTGATGCTCCTCATATCGTGTGCATTGTAGTTAAAACTTAAGTGTATGACACTCTTCAAGATGCATGTCATGATGTATGTCCTGCATCTTCATAGTGTCTTATTTAATCCTTCCTAGTGTGAAGAAATCTCCTTAGATGAGGTTTGGATAAGCCATCGCTCCAAATGACTTGCCAAGAGAAGAAAACATTTCTCCAAAGTGTCATGCATTTATCTATGCGGGGCATGATTGGTAAAGAACTTTGGTCTTAAAATTGATGTCAAGAAGAGGATTCAACGGCTGCATAAAACTGCTAATTGTTGATTTCATTCAACAATATTGGTAAACTGAGTGATTTCTGTATCAGTCTCTGCATTACTATTTGTTGATCGATAAACAAAGTGCATGGCTATAGCTGATGTACATGTTTTTTCATCCTTGGGTAATATTCAGCAACAGGGGAGAAAATTCATACTATAAAAAATTTGAGTATCCTCTTGGTTCCTGCCTGATGTGGATAGTTTGCTTTAAGCTCATTGAAACAAGTACATGGATGACTCTTAATAATACAAGACTTGTGAAAACCGAAACCTGTAAAGTAATTTTTTTCTTGGTAGACTCAAGTAACTATTCTTGGATAGGTTTATTGCACTTAGTTATTAATTTTAGCTATAGAAAGACTGTGTACAGAATCAATCAGTGATAAATATATGAGGCCATGTGACAGTTTAGCCAATCTTCTTTCACTATTTTATGTAGCCTAAGTTGACCATTATGGTGAATCTATTCTTCTTTGGTGCCGTTATTAATCATTCTTCTTCGAACAAGTTCTAGCTAGAACATGCAAATGGGTAGCTTAGGCAAAATGTCAAGAGAGCAGACAGGTTTTTTAAAATCCAAACTTAGGTGGATGTAAGACAATCTAAATTGTCTAGCAAAACTTTGTCAGGAAATCAGTTCCAATGAAATTATTTGTAAAATCTTGCAAGGGGCTACTTGGTTTCTGAAAGAAATCTGTTATCTGAAGAAGAAAAGAAGGGATACCTGCCTCTTTCTTGTAGAGGAGGTAGCTTGAGATCCGACACATCCATGTCGCGCATGCAGTAAAGAAAGGGGAAAAGGAAAAGGAACATAGGATCACAAACTTACAAACGAGGTAAAGAATAGGAGTCCTGGTTTTAGTCAACATGTAAGTTCTCTCATCTTCTTTTCTTCCAGCTGCTATTGTTTTGTATCCTTGTTGATCTCAAAAATTTTACTCTTGATTCTATTGACAATCAATTAGGGAGACATTTGTTGCTCTCTTTTTCATATTTCTTCACTGCAACAAAAAATATTTCAGATCTAAACTTTAAATTTGAGCCACATAACCTGTAAGCTATGCCTTGTACTATTCACTTCTCATTTGGTTTGATATTCATTAGTTGGTAAAGTTAGCAACTAGCTTGTTCTGTCTTCAATCAGAATGATTTTGGTAAGGAGATTAATCTATTTGGTGAGTAAAAGAATAAGAACACAGATCTCTGTTCAGCTCCTTCCAAGAGTTGCAATTGATTTAGAAGAGAACAGTGGTGAACTGTTAAATAAACAAGAAAGTTATATTTAAGAGAAGATTATTAACAAGGGGGAAAGAGGAAAAAAAGCTACAAGCATAAGAACTGGAACTGCATAAAAAGATCACACATATTTTATGGCTCTATGCTTGCCTAAATCTTTTTTATTTCTTCGCTCCTTGTTATGTTGACTCTATTTGTCTCCTTGTTTTCTTTTCTGTGAAAGATGCTTAATGCTGCTCTATTATACATGTCTTCTGTGACATCTTGTGATTATGTTGTCTTTATTGCTATAAGATAATCTAAAGAATTTGCTTTGATATCTAGATGCAAAATTGTAACCTTTGCATGCTACAACATACTGTAAAACGAGCTCCAATGTTCTTTTGTTTGTTGTGTGTATGTGTGTGTGTAAGAGTTGCCTGTAGGAGTTTTGCCATTTAGTTCATGTCAACCCTAATCCGCACAATATATATTTTTTCCACACTACGTTGGAGTTTGGTATTGATACGAATTATTTTGCCATGTCGATGGAATGTGCTATTGCATCACACGCCCCCATCCTTTTTCTGATGTCAATTAATTAAAGAATTAGTCCAACTAAAAGGTTTCTTGATGATGAGAAGCATTTCAAATTGTACAGGAAAACTCTACTTTTTTTGTTTCTCGTGATCGACAAATAATATTTGATATGTGATGTTTTCTGCAACACAAATAAATCTTCGTAGATATATCAATTGTTATGGACAACATATGAAAAATGTGCGAGCAAATCGGTCTCCAAAACCCTCTTCGATCTTAAAAGCTTGATTAAGTTGGTGTTCGAACAATATCTTATAGACTTGACAAGTAGTAAGTCATGGGGCAAAACTTATACGAAATGCATCCTTTGCAAGGTTTTAAAGTCCAATTAGGAATAATTGACGCTCAAAAAGTTGATTGGCGAATAATTAGATTTATCTATATGTACATTGTGTCGGCAAACTCTTGGTGGAGGTGAGACCATTACTTTTAGCCAATCAAAAGACAGGTACCCTTGTGGGTAACTTACTTTAGATGTCGGAAACTAATTTTCTTTTCCGAGCCTCTTAAAACATTTTCCCTCTTTCCCAGCCGTCGATTCTCTTCTCTTCCTATTGACACTGTAGCAATTCCCATCCTGTTGCGGCGATTCATTGGATCTAAGCCTTGAATCGCCTCATGGTAATGGCAAGATACCAAGAGTTTCTTATGAGTTGTTGAAATGCTGCTGCGGCGGATGTTGTTCTTGGATCAGTCGGCGCTGTTCAATTTCCATTCGTTTCTGACGGTGGTGCTGCTGGTGATCTCCACCTGCACCTACATCAGATGCAGTTCCCTGCCATCCTCGAGCAGAGGACCGGGTAATCTTTCTTCTTTCTTCCTTACCTGTTTTCCCTCTGACTTCCATTTCTAGCGTCTGAATCCAGTGGCATGAACACGGCCCCCTATCAGGTTCTTTGCGATTTGTTGCAGATTTGGATGTTCTTGATCTGGGCCAAAATTTCTTTGTTTCATTTAGTTTATATTGTGTATCTTGCATTCCACACTATGCACATTGCACATGTTGATGAGTTGGGGTTGGTAGGACTAGGACCTCTCAGCATGTAGCTATGCCATCCACTAGAAGCAAGCGGGGGTTATGATGAATTAGGGCAACTGTTATCTGCTAAAATGACAACATCTACCAGGTCCTACTAGTTATGATGTATTACAAACAATTGGGTTTGTTTGATGCTGAATGTGTCTCTCTTTCTATGACACAACTTTCTTTTTTCAAGAATTTATGTCAGTCCAGTGTCATGCCTACTAGAGGATGGACCCTTCTTTGCTCTTTATAGATGAACTACTGTTGAATCTTATTAGCTTCAACAACAACAACAATGCCCTAAAGTCCTAACAATTTGAGATCGACTAAAATCGCTAGTCCTATTTTATCTAAACTATTATTTGTGTCATTCTGCCAAATTTTGTTTTATCATTCTCATTTCTTGATTATTACAAAGGAAGAAAAATATAGTTTGTTTACAGTATAGCTGCAAAATGATATGGTCGTGGCATTATCCTCATCGATCTTAGATCGAGTGGGCAATAGCAAGGATGCTAGTAAATGCTTCAAACTTGTTGTTGAAGTATTCTAAAGTCAAACAGATGAGAATTAATAGTAAAATAGATTCACCTGACAGGCCTCCCAATAGAGCTACTATTACTTTCCTAGCAACCTAGTGGCAATTAATTGCATCTACAACCTTAGGGTATGGACACAAGGAACCCAAGGTTTTGGGAGGTCCTCCCCTTTCTTGGTGGCAAATAATGGCAAGATTGACACCTTTGTTCCCTTGTCTATTCTTCCTCTCACTTCTTTTCTGGCCCAGATTGGTAAGTTTTGTCCAATTCCAGGACCAGGCAATCGGCAGGTGGATCTTGATCTGGATCCACTAGTCCAACGAACTGTGTTCAGCAGTAACATGGGAAGTGTTTATTCCATTCTCTGTCACATCTCAGCTTAGAGACAAGAAGAGATGGATAAATGTATAGAGAAGTTTAAACCATTGAGAATGATAAACATCTGACTCCAGCAAGGAAACCCTGGTTTCTGTTGTTTTTGATTCCTTTAGTTGGTATCTGAGGATGCAAATATTTGATTACTTGAGTGCCAAAGACTTTCCCTTCACATAGTGATCAGGCACAATATATTTTAATTAACTTCTTAAGAAAATAAATGATAGTAGATGTACAGATGCATCATTCTAGTTTTATGAAAAAAAATCATGTAGCAAGTTCATGCAAGTGTTATTTCATTGTTTATTCAAGGGGAGCCTGATTTCGTGGTGCTGTTGTTTTGTGATACTGATATATAAGCTATTATTAGCATAGAAATCACTTAGATAGTTTAGTCTAAGTGATATATGCCTCCTTAGATGTTCTAGCTGTTATTAGCAGACTGATATATGCCTCTCTTCTTTCTTAACACAATTCGAGAGAAACTACAATAGCATGTACAGTTTGAGAAGATTCCCATTCTGCATACCCAATATACCTTTACATTAGAAACCTAAACTTGAGTTTATGCATGATTTCAAACTATTTTTTTTCTCCACACATTACTGTCAAGATCCGGGCTTGATAAGTTAATTGATTCATTAATTTTTATTAACCTAAATTATTGATCAAAATGTTTAGATTGAAATTGATAATAATATATTCATCATATTCTTATAAATCAATTTTAGTTTTATCACATGCGACTAATAAGAATGTTACATTATATGATGGCATGCCAACTTTGAAACTTGATTAGATATCATGAAGATGAAGGATTTTGCCTGAATAATCATTTTATTCAAAGCCCTCGGGTAGGCTTTGGATGCTCTGTGATGGGTATCTCAATAATCATTTTATTTTATGAGAGCTCAAATATGCCTTTGGCTTCACCTTCTACAAGTTGCAGCAGCTCCTGTAGACATCCCGCACGCTGTGGAACATTAATTTCACATGCCATTTGGGGCCAAAATGGCCGTTGCAATCATACATCAGTGAACATGTATTATTATTATTATTATTATTTTATTGGTATGATCTTTTTTCATCTCAACTATTTAGGATCAATCATATGGATTTTTATTTATAATTTTTATTAAAAATTTTTAGATTTTTTTACCTCTTCTCGTATTACTAATATTAATTATTTTATCTTTTTTTAACTATCATAACTCCTCAACACATATAATCTTAAATGATTTTCTCTCATCTTATTTTCTATCGAAGGGATACCTAATTATTCATGAATAAAAATATTTTTTTAGTAACTTTATATATTCATTTCAATATTGTTATCCTTATAACATAAAATTTTTGTAAATATATATTTTTCTTAATCACCCAACACTCAAATCCAGAAAATATTTTTGGTCTCAGAATTATCTTATCTATCTCAACATTCTTATTTTCGTAATATAAATTTTTTATATATATATATTTTTTAATCATCCAATACTTAAATCCATAAAATATTTTTAGCCTTAGAATTATCTTATAATTTTTTTAATCTTAAATGCTTTTGATGATCATATAAGACTATGCCTCTGGGAATCTTAATCATCTTGTTCTTACTCTATAAATGATATCTTCATCGATCTCTTATTTAGGAGGATTTTTTCCATGCAATTTTTAGAATCACTAAAATTATATTTTATATATTCACTTAGTTTAAAATATTTAGTTTCGCTTACCTCCATAGCTCAAATTTATAATTAATTCTACTTAAACTCTCATCAACTAAGATAATAGCATTAGTAAATAATATACACTAGGGAGGTATATCATATAAGAGACTAGTATGTTCATCTATTATCAATGTGTAATCTTATGCTAATAAGAAATTTACTAGATACATTCCATATACTTCTAACACTAATAATTGTACTATTATATATATCTTTAATAACATCAATATAATTAATGAATATATATTTTAAAACCCACAATAATAAATCTTTATGAACCCTATCATAGCCTTTTTGATAAGAATCATATGCAAATCTTTCTTTTTCTCCATATATTTTTTCGTTAATTATCTTAATAAATAAATAGCTTTTAAGTTAAACTTTCAAGCAAATAACTAAATTAATTTTTAGAAATATTTGTTTCAAGCCTTATTTTATTTTTGATAATTTTTTTTCCAGAATTGATTTTAATTTTTTATAATTCGAATAATTTTGTATATCACATTATTTTTATAAATTGATACTAAAAGCTCTCTTTTCATTTATTACGCATCCTTCCAAATATTATTATTTTATTAAATAAGCTAGTTAACTTAACAACTTCCTTTTCATCGAACTTTTTTAGACCTTAATAAGGATATTATGAGGCCTCATACTTTTTAACTATTTTTATCTTCTTTAATACATAATTTACTTTATTAACTCTAATTTTATTATGTGATTATTATTTATTAAATCTAAGTCTTATGTGAAATATCTTATTTTAAAACTATGGTACATATCTAATACCATCAATTTATGTTAATTTGTTAAACTTTCACCTGATATAACTTGACAATTCTTATAAATAATTTTATCTATCTTTCTATTGAGAAAAAAAAATCTATTTAACTACTATTATGATCACTCTTATAAATAATTAAATATTTTATTTTTCTTCTTAAATAAATATTTATAATTATAAGATTATACAACCAACTTCATTTCTCTCCCCCGATAACCAAAGCTTCCATCCACCCCTTTATATTTATCATATATTTTTGTATTCAAATCTCATCAAATTATAAGTTTTATGATTATAAACATTCTTCGAGTGATATCATCTAAATTTTTCTATTGATATAATCATCCAATCCGACTCTTACACGAGAGATATAAACACTAATGATATTTAAAATATTTTTTTCATAAATTTTAAAATTATAATTCGATGTTTAAATCTTTTTATATTTATAATATTATTCTTAGAATCTTCTAAACTATAATCATATCAATCCCATTTCCATCCTATGAATCTTTGCCTGTTTTGGTGTTTATCCCCTATGATATGGTTTGTGAACGGTGAACGTATATGAATCCCGTATGATATCGACAGATAATAAATACTAATACCAATAATCCAAAGCAATTAACTCTAAAATAATCCCTCCACCGCCTCTCTTATATAAATAAGATGAACCAAAGATTCTTACAGGCGCTTGTCACAAGCCACAGAAAATTAATACTTAGAGTAGACCGACTCCCTTCCTCGCACTGGAATCTGCACAGATAACTCCATGGCGATCACAGGTGGGTGCAAACCTCTAAATTCCACGGAGGGTGGCAAGTCAACCACATCAAGATTTGACTTGTGTCTTTTCTTATTTATTCTCATGTTTTTGCCCACGTCAGTTGCAGGAAATTTCCTCTCCTTTCTACACCGAGGGATTGAGCTCATTTCATTTGCCGATCGATCGTGCTCGACCAAACACAGTTCGTCTCGCCAACGCAACACGCACAGCTATAAAACGACGACCCACAGGCTTCCAACTCTGCGTATTTTATTTGGGTTGACCCTATCTCTCTCACCTTTCCTTTCCATTCTTTTGACTTGTTATTCTCCCATGGATTGGGAGCTTTTTGTTTTGCAAGATTAGTTGGCTATCAACTAATTTACAATAATAATATGTCCTTTCAATATATATATATATATAGCAACTGAGTCATTAGTCTCATTTACATACGTTCAAGTGATAGACATGAAATGGCCATAAAAGAAAGACGTGTGACTCAGACTCAGACTTGGTTTATGAAAACCCATGTTGACAACCATTAACTCGGTGGAAGTCTGCCATTTGTGTGGACCAAAGTTATGAGGCTTAATCCGCCCAGATGCCATCTTCTTCTCCCTCTCTCTCTCTCTCTCAACTTGGCCATCAACATATATGCAATACATGCTTTGCATCCTTCGCTATATTCTTATATTCCTACCCCTCCCACCCCATTTGTTCTCAAATAATTGTGGAGTTGCTTTCGCCCTTCCGCCCCACCTTCGCCAACGTAGACACGTCCTTACAAATAGTGTACGTGCTGAGCCAACGTTCCACCGTCCACCCACTGATACTTCATCTCTCTCTCTCTCTCCACCATTTGTTTCTTTTATTTCTCTCACTTTTATATCACCGCGAAAGGCCACCCCCGGTCAGCAGACCCCAAGCCAGTTCCGGTGCGACGCGGCGGGCGGGTCTCCGACACGTGCATCCCACGTGATCCGAGACTTGGCGGGCTCGCTCGAGATTCGTGCAATCCGCCGGTGATGTCTGGAGATCCGTCGGATCTATGGGTCACGGTGGTTTATGGATCGGACGGTCGGTGTCGCTCCGACAAGTCGTC